ATTAAAGAAGGATATCATTGCAACACTGGATATACATTTTACTAGCATGATTCATTAGTTTCACAGCAAAGTAAAAAGAAATTACTAGTAATACTTGAGCAAATTTAATAAATAAAACACACGATTTACAATCTTACACAGCACTCATGAGATTCTGCAGGTCTCTGAAGCACATATGATATTAATAACGATTTCAAACGATTTATTGTGAAAACAATACTGTCATTGAATGGTAAACTATGCACGAACTTCAGATTAACTCTGAACAATTTCAATCATGTCAAACAGTCTACAAGACAATGAACAATGACTTAATAATATAATGATGAACAAACTACAGAACTAATAACATGACACTGAACGAAAACTTAATAAATATCTAACAAAGTACAAAGTTAACACACAGTGGACTAAAATATACAATACGAACGACACATTTATATTATACAAATGATATTATTATATGCAATACATGAGTGAATATAATACAGACACGATGTACAATGCAGATACAATACTAATAAAAATGTTGGAACAATCTGCAAATCAAACATCTTATAGGTCTGGCCAACTTATAAATGTTTGAAGGGGAGTGGTAGCAGCACTATAACTACCCCTAAAAATAAAAATAAAAATAACTACAAATCAAATAAACGAATAGTCACAAAACAAACATATTATTAAACTAATATATGTTTGAAGGGGAGTGTTAACATATATGGAATGACGCATATAAGCAACGGACGTACCCGAGACATAGCTACATATTATATATACCTACTGAATCAATGGACAATGATGCTAAGGAGAGCGAGCCGAGTCCACTATCCCCCCTCTTTGTGTGATCCCTCTAAGCCTCTCACATAATCCCTCTCAACAAAAGTGCTCTTCTTCAAGTCGATGAAGCACACCTGCAACGCATGTTCGTTATTATTGGAACCAAAAAAGGTTGCGAACGCTCTTCATGGGAACGTACCTTGAGCGTCTACCTAGTGACAAGCTGCTTTTGGTTTCAACAAGACCTGAGGTAGATGGCAGATTGCCTTTAGAAGACTGTGCTCCATAGGAAAAGCGATCACGGTCGGCCCGCGCAAAATTTTATCGGAACGTGTAAACCGTCTTGATAAGGTTGGAAATAACTAAGACATTTGCAGCAGTATGATCTATGCAATATAAGACCGCCTGCTGCCCACAGCTATTTCTAGCACCCCGCCCCATCCTCCTTCTCTATCGTCTCTCTCCCAGCCCCTGTGCGCTGAACACCCTAACATCCTGCCCGCCCCCTCGTCGAACCAATTTTGTAATAGAGCCTACAGCATACAAAGACTTTAAAGTTTCCAGAGGCTTTACCTATCGCTACTATTTGGCTGCCCCTCGAGATACCGACAAGCCATTTATCCTATTATGTCACGGGTTCCCATCAACGTCATACGACTGGCATCGTCAAGTAGTGTTCTTCTCAGAAGAAGGCTACGGTCTAATAGTACCAGAGTATGTCTTCAGCTAAAAGCAAACTGAAATGAACATACATGCTGATGTCAGAAATATCACCTTTTCCATAGTATGCTAGGATACGGCGGCTCTGACAAACCGACGACCACCGAATCTTACAAGATGAACGCCATGGCTCAAGACTTGATTGACATTCTTGAGCATGAGAGCGCTCGAGATGTCATTGCCGTCGGACATGATTGGTGAGTATTTACATCTAGTTTCTGTTGATGTATAGTGAACCTTCAGAAATTAGGGGCTCGGTCGTGGTTTCTAGGCTTGCCTACCTTTATCAAGAACGATTCCTAGCCTTTGGATTTCTTGCAGTGACTTACATGCCTCCGGATCCAACTTTTAGTTACAAGAAAGTTTCTGAAGAACTTGAGAAGACATTTGGCTATAATCTTTTCGGATATTGGGAGTTTTTCTCATCGAACGGAGCACCAAAGATCATTGAAGAGCATGTATGTAGCGTCGATAATAAATTAATCAATTACTAAAATTAATCCTCCTTTGTTGAATAGTTCGACTCGTTTTACAGCATAGCATTCCCACATGACCCTACACTTTGGAAGGATCGCCTTGCACCGACCGGACAGGTCAATAAATGGCTAACCTCGAATCGGATTGAGAAAAGACTTGCATATATTACTGAGGAGGTTAGGTGCTAGAAACACATCTAACGGCTAGCATATATCTTATGTGTTTACAGGAGCTTGAACAACATCGGAAAAACCTTCTACAAGGTGGTCTTTCTGCCCCTTGTTGCTGGTATAAAGCCATTTTTGAAGGTCATATATTCAGTGATGGCCAAAGTAAGCTCTTTTCTAACAGTAACACTAATAAAGGCTACTGTCAGACAGGCATGTTGATCCGAACAAACTATTTATCCACAAGCCCGTTTTCTTTGGTGCAGCATTATATACTCTTGATCTTCAGTACTCAATTATATAAGCACTTTAATATACAGTTTAAAAGTAAAACTAAATTATATTATAAGTTTAACAGGGTGATTGTTAACAATATTAATATATATAATTACATATTATCTTACTAAAAGTATTATAATCAACTTATAAGTACAATACAATATTTTTATAACTATTATAATCTATTAACTATTATTGTAGATATCTTATAATATAATTTTAACAGATTATAATAAGAGTTGAGTACTTGTACCTCACATGTAATGTTGTAATAATACTATTAGTAAGCTTACTTACTCTAAAACATGTTTGTAGTTTAATAGAAACTTTGTATATTTCTTACATTTATATACAAGCATTATAATTACATTACAAGTAAAATATAAGTATTATTTTAGAATGTAATACTTATGAAATAATTTTATTAGTTTACTTTTGCTATTATTAAATACATTTGTTGCAACTTTTTTGTAATAATAATAGGAGCTACTACTATTAGAGAGAAGTGTAGTTACAAAGTACAGCCTTAGAGAGTATAAAAAGCTAGGGTAGAGGAGAAACCAGAAGAAATAATATTCATTAGTATTGGTTGTATTACTAATATGTATTACTGATAATACTCACTAAAGTACAGCTATTTAAAATCAAAATTACAGTTATTGTATTATAGTTATTTTAAAAATACATATAGTTATAGTATTTAAGTAATTAAAGTAATAAATTAATTGCTGAGTAAAGTATGAGAATGAATATTCCCTTTAAGATATTACAAGCTGATTCTGAGAATGTAATATTTTCAGTAATTGCTAATCATTTATAAAATATTACTAAAGGTTTGTAACATTTTCATACTGTATAACACTACCTCCAAATGCCTTGTAATCAAAATCAAAAGCTCAAACATAAAGTTAAGATACAATACTAAATCTCTTGTGCAAAAATCATAAACATTTACCCTTAACAAGTATCAACCATTATTAGTGTATTGAACCAACCTTCCTTGCATCAGCTAAGTTCACAATTTGTAAAGCAAGTAGTAACAGATATTAGACAATACTTTAATCTTGGGAAGATACTTATTAGTCTAATTCAAGATCCTGTATGAGTTGGACTAGCCTCTCATCATACTATAAGGGTTATCTAGGAAGCTCTGTTCTCACTCCTCATTCACATTATAGTTGGAGATTATCTTTGATCTCTCCTTGAGAGGTCTGTAATATATTACTTTGTCTAGTCTTTTTCTCCCATCCTTTTAAATTGTTCCTAGGGAGACTATTTGAAATTCTAAAAGCACTGAAACTGAACTTGTTTTACTCAACTGTCAGGACTTTGTGACTTAATTTTATAGTTATCTTGACAGGGTTGCTTCACCCTGCTCTACATGTTAAAAGAGAAAGAATTCGGATTATCAGTAAACAAAAGATAGAGATGAAACACTTGAAATTTCTAATTTTTATTTTACTTGAGCTAAACCAAGTTCCAGACATGTAGTATAGGCACTAGCATATATGCTTCTTGATTCTCCTTTCCTTCACTTTTTGTTATCTTCTCTCGCCGAACAACTTCTCCCGATTTTCTCGCATTCCTTTGTACCCCTCAAACCACACTATTAATACTAACAACAACTCAATTAATAAGCCACTCTACTCCATCATCCTTCCCAGCGTTCTTTGACTTCTTATCTGTCTAGCTGTCCTATTCCGTCCAGTTCGAGGATCCCATGATCCCCTTCCTCCCCACTTCCCGTTATCCCGTTCTCCGTCTCCGGATTGCAGATTTACAAACCTTCGCTCTCAAGCTGGTAGCATCCGCGGAACCTGATCATCTGCATTTGGTACCTTCAAAGCAGCTACCCTCGAGTCGCGGTCTTTCAGCCCTAATTCCCATTTCGTACTAATCCGTAACCTCAGATTGACCAGGAAACTCTAGATTTTGTACGTGTACACATTTCGGATCTTAGCACAGGTGCCTATTTCTTCGAACTTCTTCAATATTCACAATATTCATTTTATCTTGTATGGTACGGTATTTTTTTAAAGCCGATCTTTCTCCACTGCGAAACAATTTTATATATTCTTATATTTATCTATTGTATTGATTCTACGGGTACGGTTGAGCTAATAAATGGCTAAGCAAGATTACGTTTCTCCTAATTTACCTTCATACGATTTCGGATCATTATATTAATTTTATCTTCTTTGCGGTGGGCTTCACATTCAGATCCAGGTCCAAAAATAGTTAGCCCTCCATATTGACGAAAGAAGCCCACTCGTCAAAGTATTAGTGAAACGGGGGGCAATGAGGCATTAAATTTATGGTATATGCTACTTACTCAAGATGCTCCATAAATGTTACACGTAAAATTTTCTTGACAATATCCCTTGTGCTGGAGACAAAGAAGCAAGAAGTAAGAAACATGGTGATATCGGGGAACGAGGGAGCAGATCTACGGAGTGCACTTATTAGTGGTTCTGCGATCTCGGAGAGATGAGTAACAGCGTTCGCGTTTACATAGATACATAGAGACACAGGCAGTACATCTACATGGAAACAAAATGGATACGTAGCACCAATTTAGGAGGGTGGCAATGTAACATAGCTACCGACTCTGACACATAGAAACAGACACACATATAATACATGCGACTCGAGACTCTGGATACGCGACACGATACAAAACTCGGGCATGAGAACACAAAGAAGATTGACATTAATTTGGTATAATAGAATGTTGGAAGATAAGATAATCACGAAATCATAAAGTAATGAATTACAATTCACGATTACTAATTCTTTAAGTATAGTGTAGCAGGAATCTAGGATACTGGATACTGTTACCAAGTCATTTGTATTGTAACGACTTCTCTGACGTTTTGGCTTTGTTTATGAGTATTAGCTGGAATTCTGTCAAATCATTATCAGGATTGGATGTAGGATAAAACATGGATTGAACATGTACATGTGTTATGGAGACAAAATGGCTGCATAGCAGCAATACAGGAGAGTAGTAATGTAATGCAACTCCTGACTCTGGATACAAAGAAACAAATCAGGCGAATCGAGAAAGGACGCAAAGAAGATTAATATAAATATGGTATAACAGAATGTTGGGAGATAAGATTATCATGACCTGTAAATTGACCTGTATCTCAGTTTTCATGAAAATCATCAACTGAATACAATTAAATCTCAACTTGTTTCATATATACAGTAATTAGGAATTCAGTTTCATACCAAATATGATAATGTCCTTCTCTACTCAAACATGTATCTCTTTCTACAAAATATCTCTTAATTGTGTCAATTAACAATGACTATGCTTGAGACTTAGGGACAAACTAACAAGTCATTTCGACAAAAAAGTATATGTATGTAGGTGATATAGGTGATACAAGACAGAGGAGTATTTAGTCAACGACAGGACAGGAATCAAACAAACAGAGTGAAAAGCAAAATCAGCAAGGAAAGAGACAGTAGGAGAGTAGTAAAGACAGGAAGAATGAGAGAGTCGCAAAAGAGAAACAAGCCTCATTTTAGATAATTAATTATACTTTGACACTTGGGTGATCACTACTACTAACTACTACTGACTACTAACAACGTCGAGCTTTTTCCAATCAATAACTACACGTGCACACAGCACAAATTCCTTTCAACGCCGACACGCAAGTCAGTCCGGTCTAGTTGTTTGTCGAGTCGAGTACTCGGTGCTAGCCTCCCTGCCTCCCTGCCTCGTGGCCCTTGGTTCTTTGATTCGATTCGGATTGTGGTTGTCTGCTGGGCATAGCTCGCTGTCTCTCCTCCGTGTGCCCTCATCTCCTTCATCTTTCATCTTGGATGTGTCCCCGCCTCGGCGAAAAATAGCCGAGGCACGCCCCATCTACAACGATGTTGTAATCTCCGCCGACCCATCCCAATCAAGGTAAGGACCGTAGACGAATGACTTCATAGACGGATAGAAGTTCGTGTCGATTGGCTTGTCGGTACCTGCTAGCCGCTGGACCGTAACGCTCCGCGCCAGATTCCAACGGCAGGAAAGCGGGAGAAGGACGGAAGGTATGGTGAGGGCCGGGAAGTAAGGTGAGATAGACAGGGGCGCAGACGGATGATGAAGATAAGGAGGGGGGAGGGACCGATAAGGAGGGAAGAGAAGCTCGAACCCTATGATGTGTGCCGTGCGTGATCACACATAGAGGGTCGGCGCTTCGCTCGACTGACTGACCCACAACTAACCACTAAGAAAAATAATAACTGCAGTAGAAAAAAGATAGGAAAGGATAGAATAGGCATAGGACAGACAATCGAGTAAGAGACAGTAAAAAATAAGACAGTAAAAAAAGACAGGATAGAGGACAAAAAGAAAAAAATCAAACAGTTAAAAAAAAAGAAAAAAGAAACATAAATGAATGTTCATCGACTCAGCCCATCAGGGGGCGTCATCCGGAAAGGAGTCCGTTTAAAGTCAGCGGCTACAAAAAAAGAAAAGAAAGGAAAGGAAAAAAAAGAAAGAGCAGAAGGTTAATTAGAAAAAAACTCGAAGAAAATGAAACGAGATGAAGACGTACTGTTTAAGAACACCGAATTACCCCACCAATTCAAATTAATACCTCCACCCTTCGGGAACTATAAAACAGAGTCATAATTAGCATCCTCCATCCTCTGCGACGTGGCGTCCCCAAAGCGGAAAACCCGAACCAGCCAACACAGGAAAAAAACTCACTTGCAGCGTAAAGAAAATCGTAATCAAACTCAACACCGTCCCACTATCCATAGCAGCACTCGTCACATAATTAAACTTACTCCACCACCCAAAGTTCCTCCTCCGAATCAAATACTGGAAAATAAACCCAAAGAAGAACCAACTGCTGTAATTTATCCCCGTCGCTGGAGGGATGAAGGAGACTCCATTCAATACTATGGGAGTAGAGACGTATTTGAGCCAAGAATTGGGACGACGGCGTTGCCATAGCCAGAATGGTAGGGGGAGGAAGGCACCGATGATCATTGCGTAGAGTTGGGGGTGGTAGATTGAGTTTGTGCCGAATTGTCTTTTGGGACCGATGAGACCCCTTTTGATTTTGACAGATGATGTGAGTAGTGCTTCTTGGGTGGAGTGAACTGGTGACTTACCAGACTGCGGAGGCAGTGAAGAAAACCTGGTTGTGCGGGCAAGTTAAACTGCTCTTCTGATTATCTGAGCAAATGTCTTTAACATTCGCGAACATCCATTCCTTCACACCGACTTGTACGAAAGCAGCCAAGATCGTAGCAGTAGATTGAACTGATCCCAAAGTCACCAGAACATAAGAAGAGTTGTCAAGCGTGCGCAGTAATTGAAAGATACGTACCCAAGAAAGTAGCTCTAGGAGGAACCTTGATGTAATGACCTAACTTCAGATCCTGAACAAACATCGTTGCCTCCGTGAGTGTCTGTACAGAGTAGGCTTTGAAAACCATGTTCGCCAGCGGATTACCCGGAAGTAATACCGCAGGGATAATTTGTGCCAACAGGTTCAACGTAATCTTATCACAAAAACCGTCAGCCCGAGATAAAGAAGACCTCTTAAAACGAAACTCACTCCTTGCCCGGTCATAGCGAAGATGAAACCACTCGGAAGAACGTATACGACAGGAAGCAGCACGCTGATGAGTAGCGCCCACACTGGTATCCCTGTATGCCACACCTCCGCAGAGATAATCGCCATCCCAAAGAAAAACACGAACGCAAACGCATACCACCAGTCAGGCACCTCCGGGTAGTTACGCATAAGCTTCGCATGGATATCATCTTTCTCGATCTTCACGTTCTTCACGCCATTGAGTAGCGATCGCCCATGGTACAACACTGTATGCACGATGACACAAGTCGACAGCGTAAACGCCAACAAGTACGTCATCGCATACGTTGCGGGAAGGTACAGAGGCGAGTACTCATCGTACGCCGTCACGTTGAACTGGTTGTCAGCCGTCATGATCCGACTGATGTTGTACGAAGCACCGAAGCGATCGTATGGTTCATTAGCGGATATCGGGAAGTATGAAAGGTCCCACACGTTGGTGTAGTAAAGAATCGGTGTCAAGATCCAGAAGAACAGTACGAATCCTATGCATCTAATCAGCAACTAGGTACTTGGGCATGGGGGTAATATAACATACCAGCAAAGACGTGACATTCCGCCCACCACGGAACCATCAACGGACTTCCGATCCAAGAAATTTGCGTCCAGTCAAACGTTAATATACTCATCCCAAGCCCACTTTGAATGCCGAATAGCTGGTTCACTGGTACATTATTAGGTACGATCCAACATATCCAGCTGAACACGCTCAATCCCATGAACATGAAACCTGGGAGGAAGAAAAACGCGAACGCAGCGGCCGACGCCAACAAGTAGTATCGATATCGCGAAAGGCCGTTGCTCTCTGCATCGTCCTCCGCATGTAAGGTATTCAATAAGGTACACGCAACCAAGTTTTGCGGCCAGACCATGCTCGCGGGCCAAACCAAGAAACGTCGACATAAACCGGCCAAACCAAAACCTGTCAGCTGTGTTGCAAGAGTAAGGACAAGGTTAAACCAGAAACCAAGCTTGATGTTGTAGAAGATCTCGGCGACAACAATAGCATTGAGTGCGTAGGGGTTCCCGACGGCGACGTTCGCCATGATGTAGACGAGGACATGCTCCTTGATGTTCCATGGACCAGGGTTCAGTGAAAAGGTCCAATCAAAACCCTTCCAGCCTTGCCCACCAAAGCGAGTCGGCCACGGAATAGGTAAATGTGCCCGGAAGGTTTTGATGGGAAAAGAAAAGGCACAGAGTTTCCCGATAGGATAAGATACGAGAACGAGTACTAATGGGATGACCTGAGGCGCGGGTTGACGGAAGTTAAAGAAGACATTCAGAGCAGAACCGATCATGCATAGCACGAGACCGATAATCCACATCCGGAACGTTAGCGCAGGCATCTCTGGGTCGTCGACATTAGATACCGACGCGCGGACTTCGGGGTACGGCGAGTCTTCTTCCTCCACAGCGTCAAAATCAAAACCCATCTTTATCGACTCCCGGCTCTCTACGTCCATATCCACGTCCGAGAACTCCATCATACTCGGAGAGACGCTCACAGCTATTTCCGTGCTATCCACACTCGTCGGCCGCTTTTTGCCCATCTCTGCATCATCTAAATCGAAATCCTTCTCGTTTTCGGCCAAAGGTGTCGCTATCGCTCCAGCTGATGGCAGTTCCACGCGGAGACCTCGTTCGCTACCGGTAGGGACAGAGAAGCGTGATGCAGCTCCGCCGCTCGCCTGCGATTCGGGTGGATCCGTCCTGCTCCCCGCTGTATCTATACGACGCAACCGATAAGGGTCGTTCGGGTCACCATTCGACTCTGTCGACGGTGGGGTATCGACACGGAAGTTTGAGAAGGGAGTAATGGGCGGTAAGGTAGATGGATATGAGTCGGTGTGCGTGTGGTGATGGGAGGCTGGCGAGACTGCCGGGACGGCGGAGCTGAAATTGGGGAAGAAACCCAACGACGAGGACACTGCAGTCCCAGGCCGCTCACCATGCTGCGTCTTCGGTCGCTCGGGATAACTGTCTATAGAGTGTGCAAACGGCGGCTGGTGGTGTTGCTGTTGTTGTTGCTGTTGTAGTTGGGCTTCCTGCTGGACCTCGGCGGTCGTCGGAGGTAAATACGCAAACACATCCTCATCCTCACTTTCCTCATCGTCTTCCTCTTCTATCGCGCTCTCCTGAGAGTAAGTATACGGTGGGTTATTGTGGTTGTAGAAGAAATCTGGCGTCGAAGGCGGTCGGGCAGTCGTGGGTCTGTCGACGTCGTGTTCTGGCGGGAAGCGCTGTTCTGGGTCTGCTGGGGGAAACGACATGGTGACGGGACTCCAGTGCGCCTGACGCGCAGGTGTATCGCTGTGTGGTCGACGGCACGGGGGAGCGCGGAGGACCTGGGAGTTGGGGGGACGATGGAGGGAAGGACGACGGAGGGAGATGGCGGAAGGGAAGAGTTGGGAGTCGAGTGGGTATTAGGAAGGCGGACGGCTGGGAAAGTACTCTCCCCTGTGTGCCTGGTCAACCTGCCCTTGCATTTTCTGATCAATCTCTGTCCCTCTCTTTCTTCCCTTCTATCCTTCTCATTTCCTTTCGTTTCAGTCTCTTATTTTCACGACTTCATGTGGATATATTTTCACGACCGTTTGAATTTGAAGGCGAGACAAAGTCAGTTGTTTCCAAGCGGCAAAGCGGATCTGCGCTGACACGTGCGACCCGAGCTGTCGTTTCTCATCCAGTTTTCTTTGGTCAGCCCCGCCCCATCTCTCCCATCCCTCCCATCTCTCCCAGCCCGCCTCTCATCTCACTCACATTCCCGCACAACAACACCTCTTCTTCCCCAATCTACCCACTCTCCCGCCCTTCTATGCTCCCACTGTCCACGTCGCAAGAGAAACCGACATGAGAAAAAAACGAGTTATCCTTGGACAGCTTACCTAACCGCACTGCCCGGCTTAGCACATTGCCGTTCCTGGCAACAGGTTACCTGTGCCTGGAAGAATGTGTAATTGAAATAATGAAATACCTCCGTGCCTTTTTTTCTTGCTCGCCTCTTTCCCACTTCTGTGCAAGTCTCATCTCGTTTGTGACCTGTGCCCACCTCTTTTGACCGCCGCGTTTTGCACTGGTGTCGTGTTCCATTGTTTCGACCCATTCGGTTTCAGCCCTAGTCGAGGTACGGCCATCATGTGTTTAGGATTTAATATTAATATTGATATTAGTCTATGGCACTGTATTATATTATTACGCCATCCTGCGATCAACACAAATTTTCTGATCCATTCAATAAATTGATTTCGGCATTCCATGTGCCGCGAAATACAAGCCACACTTCGATTGAGATAAGCAACTCAGCCTATTTAGTATTTTGTAGGCATACACGATCAAGATATATTATATTTATATTACTGCATTACTGTATCGCTACATTAGTGTATTATTGAATTTATACTGTATTACTGTATACAGCTCAGATACAGATACAGATACACTAACCTACTCAACGTAACTCAATTCCGATCCGATCACTTCCCCTATTTGACGATCATCCCCCCTATATATAATATACATAATACAAAAGTCTGCTTAAACTAAATTTCCGCGTTCCCCATTTGAAAATAATATCAAAAACGCATCCGATCCGCTTTCACGCACATACAGGATCGGTCCTGATTTACTTACATTCCAATCGTACCACACTACTATTATGCACGATCAATCGTGCCTCATAGCTTTCATGATCACAACAAAAACATCCATTTAAATACTCACATCCCTCACATTAATTAGTTAGTACTTTACAACACTTTTATTTCACTGGGCCTCTTGATAATCCCCCTACAAACAAACACTCTACCTCCATCAATCAATCTTGATATTCTGATATCCTCTGCATTAAAAAAGGTCTATGTTAGTATGTATAGTAATCAAGTAATCATTTGTGATTGATGCACATCATTACTATCATAGTACATCATGCTATGTGTTTGTCTGGCCTCTGTTAAACCTGCTTGGTATTTCCATTTGGGCACAGGATTCAGCTGACTCGGTCAAGACTCGAGAGCCACTGTACTAGCTTGATTTATAGTACAGAGAGAGAGACACATCCTTCATAAAGTAGATAGATAGAATATATTTAATTATTAATGTGATTATTAACTTCTCTGTGTCAGAAAAATTAATCATCTCTATACATTAGATGTAAGCCTACCCTACAGCTTACAACAGCTTCTGTACTGTTCTGTACCTCTCCTGGTGCAGAACCACATTTCTGAACCCAGACCTTCTCCCAAGCCTAGACCTCCTTTGTGTGAACCCTAGAGTCACACACATTTCCCCTTTTGTCTTCACACTATGTTTCCTTATTGTCTGAGTCACATACCCTTCATTCTTAGGTACATACACCCTCCTTTTCTCTTTGGCATTGTTTTCCCCTTTAGGCATGAGCCACCTTTGTTTCATTTCTAGTATATATAGTTTTGATCTTTCACCTTTGTTGTACCAGTTCTTATTCCTGACTGTAACAAAGGTGAGTTCTTGCATGTACATAGACCAGTTCTTATTCCTGACTGTAACAAAGATACCTTTGTCCTGTCAGCATTCTGTATGTGTTAGCAAACCTGGAACTCAACAGAACTTGTTTGTAACAGTGTTCAGCACTTCCCCAGTACTGTTCTATAGATATTATATTGATACTAGATGTGCTATTACAATTCTAAGTTAATAATTGTATTAACAATACTTGTATCTCTATTGTTATAATGACTTCCATGAGCAAAAATCATTCCTTTTCATTGTAATGAATCTAGAACTTGCTCTTGAAGCACTTCTACATTTCAGATATAGTGTTGTACACAATCTTCTAGTTGTTACCAGAAAGTAAATTAAAATTTGTTGTACTAAGAATTATCTGTCAGACTTGATTTCTTAGAGACTAGTTACAGTTATATTAAAGATAATATAATTTAAAGAAGTCTTAGTAGGTTTGTATTATTCATTACTACTGTAAAATTACTTGAAGGAGTGATTGAAACATTACTAAGAGTATATGTTAAATTCTATTATCCTTCTACCAAGAAAATTAACTAGTAGTTTGTAGTTATAAGACCAAGTCTAGTCTACTAACAGAAGTCACTAAATAGTCCACTAACACAAAGATTGATTTTCTGTAATATGAGAAAACTATGTACAAGTTGTTCCTGCCATTGTGTTTGAAAAACTCATGTCAAGTTCTTCAGAAATAAATCGAGAGTATAACAACTTTTCATGTGCATAATTAGTACACTCTTTCACTCTTTGTACAATATATATTGCTATACAGTAAACGTCATGATCAAATCTAGAACAACATCTACTACCAAACATGAGACACAGGCCGACAGCCGCCTTCTTGGCGTAATTTTATCTTCCAGACTTCCCTACCCTTCTTTCTATTGACCATCTCCGTATTATCCGCGTTCACCACTCTAGGCCATGTCAGTTCGACCAAACTTCCGAGAGCCTCCGAAATGAAAAATCCACCCAATGCCAGTGTATTGAAAGATTTTTTTAAAGAAGGGGGAGGAGGGGGGGGTCTCGATGTCTTTTCTTTCTCGGAATTGTGATAAAAGCATGCATAGATACAGTAACTACTAAGAGCTAACACGACCCTGTGCATATACTACTTAGCCTATTTTGCATCGGAACATACTCTACTCTCCATCTCTTCACACCGAGTCACCGACATCCGTCCAAGTCGGTCCGCTAGAATACCAATCACCGAATACCTCGCTCTTCCTCAGCCAACAAGGCAAGACATAACCAAGTGACCATCCAGCACCACTCTACTTCCCTTGTGCATCCCAGATTCCAGAATACAGAACCGCTAGGCAGCGATAAGCCCAACACGTCGATTCGTCCGACAAGTGCGAGGATGTGTTATTATCCACGCGTAGGGAGGAAGGGAAGTCCGAAGAACAGTCGATTCCGTCTCGATAATTATATTGTTATATGCGTCCGAGCGTCATGCGTCATGATGCGTGGGTCCTGCCGGTCATTGCCGAAAGCTTCGCAACTTCGCATGTAGTTCCGTCTCCTTATATATAAACCTCACGCTTCTTCCGTCCCTTTTTAGTTAAAATGCTTACGAGTTAAGACTTCTAGTCTAGTAAAAGCCGTGCTTCTTAATTAAGTAGGTATATGTAAGTGCGCAGGTCATTCTGCAGGTACGAGTACAGCAGGCAGTACGTACACTAAGGTTGGGTACCTAATACGTGTACGTATAGATATGTTTTCTGATGATGTGTAGCGGCGCCCGAACTCTAAACGCTTACTTATACATATGACTACGTAAGTGGCCCATCATGATCCCGGCCGGGTAACAAGGTGACGCTGGCTTTTTGGAGATAACACTTTGCGTAGATGTCAAGTAGTTGTGAAGATGGTTCGTCGCGCAAATAACAGGAGGTAAAAAGACCTTATCTGGACGCCGATGAAGCGGACCTATCTCCATGGGCGCCAAGATCCAATCAGGAGTTGGGCCTTAGATTTCAGGAGGACATCCAGACCGGCTAAGAGTCCTTAAGAAACCGGTGACTAGCACGGGTTAGTATGTAAATATTAAATGTTAAATGTTGTCCGCGAACTCGGACTGCACTAACACGAGTTAACACCATGTACCTAGATAAAATAACCGTAAAGACCCTAATGAGGCGAGGTGAAGTGCAGAAGTATGTACGAGTGTGCCTTCTTCATCCTGAAGCCTGACTCTCGAGTCCAGAATGCCTATTTGAAATACTGCACTTCACACCCTCGTCTACCACCCCTCCATGGAAGCCCGAATCGAAGTTTAATAAAAGTAGTAGCACAAGCAAAACTAAGAGCGCACCCTTTATCCCTCGGCTTCGTAACTTCACGAGTTAGGAGACTGAAGTCGTGCGCTCATTCGGACGAGAGGGTCGAACCTGAGCCTCATGCCTACTCGGAATTCAGATATTTTACACGCATGCATACCATACATAAGTTTCTATTCATTACCTACGACTAAGTAAGTACGAAGTAGTCATTTACCCGAGGACTCACGCTCAGTCGTCCCAACTTAGCGACCTTCGAAGCCAATCGTGCGTGCGCGGCGAGGCAGAGAGAAACCTCCACGGGAGAAGAGGGGAAGACAGACGATGCGAATTCGGAGCGAGCTTTTATTGAAGCCTGATCTCTCTGATAGGTGATTGTAGTTCAACTCCTCTAGCTTCTTGCCTGAAAGAGATAGCACATTGTATATACTTCACAGTAAGTTATCTGCGACCCCGCTCGTTCGTGTAATCGTCTGGAGGGAAGGGAAGGGAAGGTACGGCAATTGGCGGGATTCACTTCTTACCGGACTGTATTAAATACATATCAATGCTGTCACAGAACGGAAGTAATCGTTTCGTCCAGGAAGAGAAACATAGAAACGCAGGATTGGGGAAAAGGGGAGGCAACTGACACCGCACGCACCACATGTACGCACGCCTGGCGCAAATCCGGGCCAACGGACTTCGGCAGACATATGGCAGGTACTTACACATACGGACAAAGCATTGCGCCGGGGAGAGAGGCGCGCGACTGTCGGTCCTACAGAATCAGATTGGGTATAAATTAGCCTCCTCATTCGAGTAGACGCCAGCCAGCCTCCCTCTCCCCCTCCTTCTCCACTCCTAATATTTGTCCTCTCATCTCGCCCTTGTGCCCCCATGACCGTCTCCATTATATCCTGTCAAAAGCCACGGGTACATTCCTGACTCTTGTCAGTCATCCAAAGCGCTTCTTCAGGAATCCAAGATTCCTTTTCCAGCAAGATTCGAGTACAGAATGCACCCCTTGGTCCTTAGACCTCGGGGTACGCGTATCGAGCACAATGTCAACGCCACATACGCCCAAGATTACTGTTATTTAAACGGTGATTTTTCGGTCTTTGTCCTGAGTACGCCGCCCCTTCCCTTGCCATTCACGTAACCCTGTCGGCATGACCCTCCGAACGAAACACACGACGTATTCTGATCAGTGAGAGATAACGGCCATTCTAGACGGCCCTTTGTCCCTCTCGCACCGTACTTCCGGGAGAAACAAGCATTTTCCCTAGGAAAAAGGTAAAGACAACCTCGATTCCTATATAAACGCGTGTAATCGATGACTTTTCTTGTCGGAAAATTTGAATGTGCACTCACATCAGGTGACGTTATTCCGGCATATATGTATACTGCATTACGATGTCCGAGGGGACCGCACAGCAGGACCACTCTAGTCAGTACTGGGATTCTCTCCCAGTAACTTGTTGTTGAAATGGGTTGCTAACTGACGCATATATTCAACAGTAACCTGTACATCTTGGGCCACCCGGACATTGCCGAACACTGGCCAGTTACAAAACAACAAATTTAACTTGATTTACATTGTACCCGAACAAACACAAACCCAGACACAGAACCCAAAAAATAGGATACAAGAGGAATGAACAACTATTGACAACGGTGGTAAGGATACATATACAGGTACGGCTTTATCGATGAAAAACAGAACACATTACATCTTTTGGTTTCAATATTTGAGAAACGAACACGACAAGCACAAGAACAGATCGATAGCACAGGTAGCACAGGTAGCACAGGACACGACAAGGTTAAGGAATAGAAACAATAGGTGACGTCAAATGTACATCTGTATTAGCGCTTAATTCTTTTAAGGTTGGAAGATAGATAGAAATTATCGCGAAGGTGAGACTGCACCCGTTCATGAGACATGCCGCTGACATTCGCCATATCGAAGACCACGGCGAAGACCACAGTTTTGAACAATATGGATCACATGGGGCCGCCCGTCGGTCCGTAGAACAGACCAGTGTCCTGCATGAAGGATGTCCAGCGCTGGTTCAGTCCAGAATTGTGTGACGCAAGACCCATCTCTGCGAACTCGCGCGGTGCAGTGGCATACAACTCTGGCGGTGTTCCACCAGAACCAGGTGGGTGATAGTAAGTACCCGGTGCATTTGAAGATGGTGGTGGTGGCTGAGGTGCAGCGTATGCCGCGTGATATCGTGGATCAGTCACTTCGTGGCTTAGTTGGGAAGGAAGGCGTGGATGGAAGACGCGAGATGCAGGCTGTTGGTTCGGAGGTGCATGTTGAAGAGGCTGCGAGAACTGATGATGGGAATGGATATAGCCTTGGTGCGAGGAGACGCTCGCTCTACCATGGTCGTATTCCATTCCGTCCATCCCTATATCGGGATTGGACGAATGCGAATTCGACTGAGGGTTGCGCGAAGCTGATGGTGCTACCCACTCATCGAGCTTCACGGTAGGCGGATACGAACCAGAGCTCACTGGGAATGATCCTGGTGTATCCGCGCCGTGCTCGGTGTAAATATCCCTGAAACCTGGTCCAACACCCGCCCCGGCCCACGTGACTGGGGGATAAGCACTATCCGGTGACGCTGACTCCGGAGAACGAAGCGCACTTAGCTGGTGCATTTGGGATCCGCCAGCAAATGCGTTCCCGAGAGGTGATATTGGATTTTGAATTTTGTTGATGCGTATTGTACCGTCTCCTGGTGACGACGGACTAGGTTTGCTGTAAGACGGCGGAGGGCTAGGGGTCTCTTCAGAGATAGCAGCTCTAACATCGGGCGATGATCCACTAGCCGATGATCCCTTTTTTGAAGAAACTAGAGGGACACGTCCGCTAAACAAATCAAGTTCATCATCCTTTTCCAGTTTCAGTGCTGGCATAACTTGATTATCGCCAGCCTGCAATTCGGGCATGCTTTTTGACCTCAAGCACGACTCATAGGCAGTATGCGCCTTCACTTTCAATTTCTCTAAAATAGCCTATAAGAAGCACTTAATTCAGTGCCATTGCAAATACAAGGATAAGCACATGAACTGACAGATGCTTTTGCGGCACGTGTGCTATGCTGACTTGCCGCGGAGAAGAGCTCACACGCCTTGTCTAGCTCTTGAAGGGACGAAGGTGCATAACTCGAGCTCGGCCCGCGCACTACAATAGTACCAAATACCACCTAGATATAACGCTGTCATTATAAGATGCAAGGTGCATAACGTTAAACGCTCACAGCAGATGAGAATGCATATGTCCATGGCATCCAAAATCTTGCACAAAGAGTAGGAATAGTATCAAACTCATCTCGAATTGACTTTAGAATATGCGATGAGCAACGATAAGTCGCCAGAAATGAGGGTGCATATTGGCTCCTAAGTGGATTAACTGGATCATCTATCATAGCCTGTGCAAAGAAGCCCTTGTGCAGATTAAGCAGTACTATACAGAGATGATCAATGAATGAACCGAAAGGGAAAATCGGAGCACCTACTTGTCTCGCGAGCGTGGGAAAATACGTATCGGGCCATAACAGCAGCAGGTTTTGAGAGATCGACAGGAATGTTATCTGGAAAAGAAGGGACTGGAAAATCCCGAAGCTTTGCATCGAGGTCGAGGATCATTGAATATGGTGGTACAGAAGCAGTGAGGGTCTTAGCAGAAATCTCGCTGACGCACTCCAGAGTGAAACGGAACATCCAAGAGCCAACTAAGGGAAGACAGTTAGCCCACACTTTTCAAGAAAATCTGGTTCAAAGTACGTACAACCGGGTTCCATCTTTCCCTTTTCATTTAACCGGGCATCCTCGTCCTGTGGGAACTGACAATCGACATATGGCATAGTAATACAAGGAGGGCGCCCACATGCCAAGGACTACAGACGATAGCTTAGAACACATTGCTTCGTCGGGAGTAGAGTGCTTACCTGCCATGAATCGGCGACAAAGAGGTCCCAAAACAAAATTCGTCGCCTCTCTGTCTCTTGGCGTCCTAAGCCCCACCTTGCACTATCACGATCTGTCATGCATTAATTAATCAGTTAAAGAGCGAACAATAACAGAACTGGAAACGACTAACGGAGTCCGATCTAGACGCAACGAAATGTCAGCAATGAAATTAAGGCCCATTCTGCTTGTACATACTGTTAATCCAAGTTGTACTGCCTGCCGAAGAAGGCTCCAGGACATTTCCATGCTTGTTCCGGAATCATCTCCACGGCCATCACTCTGCCTCATGCTGTTGTAGATGCTCATTAGGTGCAGCGTCTGGACAGTTATGAGGCTTGGTTGCTCCAGAACGTTCTGTAAGACGATTGCCGCTTTCGCAAGTTGGTAATAGTGATCCGAAACCGCCCTATAAGGCTCCTGGGTTATGTCGACGAGAGTTCCAATTGCAAAGCACATGAGAAGCAGCGCAAGAGAGTGCGGACCGGTATAGTCATTTACGTTGTTGTGACCAGGGTCAGGAATCGAACGGTGGTAAATTGCAGGAAGCATGTCGTCCATGAGCTGGTCCCGCGATACCGAGCGGAAGAGCCATGCAGCGGACTCAAGATAAACCTCGGCAAGCTTAACCGCATCGTCCCATTTCGGCAAATGATCCTTAATCTTCGCTTGCATATCGTGCGCAGGGCCAATTGGGGTAAAGGGGAAAGCGTTTGAGAAGAGTGCAACCTCGGGCTGTAACTGGGGTGATTTGGAGCTATGCTGAGACGACGAAGACGGAATAGAGACGGGTGACCCTCCGCTTGCACTTGGCGACGAGAACCTTTCTTCATCGTCGTCCTTCATCAGCATAAGCTGAAACGGTGGCAATACGTTAGCAATGTTGCTTGCGTAATTCTCTGTAGTCATATAAATTCCTCACCTCCGAACTGCCTGAAGCACCATAGAAGCGCGGGCCCTTGTCACTAATTGAAAGAGTGCCAAGACCGTCAATACACTTTGGAGTCTCACGAGCAGGGTCTGGCTCTGCCTCAGGAGCCTTGTCGACTTTCAAGGACAGTAGCTCGTCTCGTAGCAACGGATGAGATTCCTGCGACACATTGGACTGCATGATAGCGAGCGCGTCTTCGAGTTGACGAATGCGCTCGCTCATCTTTGACATCCGTTTGTGCAAGTGGTCCGTCGCGGCCAAGACAAATCTGCAATCATATTCAGTTTCATGTTCATTCAGTCGCGTCCAAGGAACAAGGAAGCACATACCGCGTCCCTTGCCCGGTGGCAAGACTGCCTGCTCGGCCCGCATTAGCACAAATACTTTATGCGACTGTGAGATGAAACGCACCGTTCGGACAGAGTGACGCACATCCCCTACGCAAGCAGCTGGAACAAGGTAGCTGCCTGTCGCATTTGATCTTAAGCCTGCAAAACAATAATATACGGTCAGAACACCATGCTCGTCCACGCGCGCACACACACACGGAACGCACCTCCGACATTCTGCACAGGAGATCTCCCCGCGGCTTCTCTTTAACTCGATTTCCCTCGCGTGTGTGCCCTCGCCCTCGTCCTTGTGAGAGCCTGAGCGCACACCGCGAGGGACGCCAGGGCGGTACTGCACGGGATCGCGCTGGGACGAATAGAGAAGATCTGGGGCCATTGGGCCGCGTGCGGTGCAACCGCTGTCGACGGCGAGGGCAGATTCTGTAGTGCTGAGGACGGAGAGAGAGCGTCTTTTTAAAAACAGAGGATTTGAATGAGACGAGGCATGGGAATGAGGGCGCAGAGGGTGAGAGTCCGAAACAAGGTTATCCGCTCTCATGCCTGCGACAAATATATTTAGCCCTGATTCGTCTTGCTTGGATTGGATGCAAATCCTTCGAAGTCTCTCTCAAACATTATTCAAAAAATAAATAAATAAAAAGTAAATAGTAGAAGGACACAGCACAGCACACTGCCCTCTGTCTGTTTCGTCGGACGAATATATTCACTTGCTTGTGTTTTGGAATCACGCATTGCTCGGACAGCTTTTTGTGCTCTGGCTTCTCTATTTGTCAATTCATGTCTGCCCCGCTCCACGAGCCGGCAGCCGCTTCAGCAATCTCCCCATACAGTGGCACCACTCGCCCAATTTCGCAGCGGGAAAGGCATTCTTCTGGCCAGGTCAGCCAAGCCCCCCTTGTACAAGTGACTAAGCGATATATCCATTTTCTGATACGGAACAACCAAACTCTCCCACTCATATTCAGAAACGGATTTCTGGGACAATGCAACACGTTAAGACACGTGTGTCACTCTATGGCGGAGTGCGACGAGAAGACGGTTGTGTTTGAACGTCGCCGCCCAGTAAGGAGCTTTCATGACCAACTGCGCATTTGATATTACCCTGGTCATGGGCCGGTGTTTACAACGCCCTGCACGGAAATTGAATGGGTTGCTTGCTTCCGTCCTTTCGTTGCTAGCTTCGCCCTCGGTGATCAATAATACGCAGCGTGGTTCCAGCGGAGTCAGAACTATACCCGCTAATATATCCTGAACTCCGTTATAGGTTCGGATCCATTCGTTGATAGACTAGATCTTCTTAAGCCATCTTGAGCCATTAAAAGCGGGGTGAAAACCGAACCGACCAAGCAGCGGTCTAGACAAGGAAGCAAGCCGCGACAGAAGCCATTTAATGTATTACTCTGAGGCTCACGGAATCAGCATGTCGCCAGGGGAAATCTATTTTTGTCCGCGACATGGTCAACGTGACATATGCTGAGAGATCCGCCATTGTCAGCAGTAAAGGCAAGTCGAGATAAACGACACGTTATCACTCTCATGAGGCAAACCAAGCCCATGACAAGCCCTCTCAAGCTGATAGATTGCCCCTGGGCGGATTAGCGGAATTCCGTGAATTGCATTAAAGCGGTGATAGCAAGACCAAAGTCCTAAGCCCCTGCAGACCGTGCTTTCCGATCAATGAGTTGGATAGCCAAAAGTCGGAAATGAGGGCTCACCAATACTGTACTGCAGCAACTTCAGAAACCAGAAGGTTCAGTAACTCCATATCCTAAACAGAAACATCGTCAGGTTCTCAAAGTTAGATTACGATGGAACCTCCTAGATTGCAGATCGCTATTGACTTTTTGCCTTTGATACCGGCCTGGCACTACAATGCCCTTAAAACGTGTAGCCCGCCAAACTGTCGCAAAATAGCCTCCCCACATCGCTAAAATGGAAGAATGGGCAAGAGAAAGCTGTTCAGTGTAAACGTTTGAGGGTCCTGCAGAACAACTAAGCTCCACAGTTGCAGATTCGGACAAAAATTGCATCTTGAACTTCGACAACAATACATTTCGACAACAGCTCCACTGAGAAGGCATCCGTATCCGTTATCAAGAGAAGCCATGTTTCTTAGCAATTCGATTCGGGATCATGAGGGAGATACAAGTTCAGACTGGGCTTGCTACTAGTAGAAGCACGACTGGTGCATTCTGAGCGCAAAAAAGTATTGATTGAGTATGCAAGTTGCTATTTCTTTCCTGTCTGGGGTCCGCATCATGACAAAGACCTGTGAAATAACGTGCAAAGAAGTTCATGTTACCGTCGGGCAGGAGAAACACACATCAAATGCACTTCACCCGCAATTGCTTCCGATTTTGATTTTAGAAGCATACAACGGTGACGAAGCGAATTGTGCAGACCGCGGTTGCGAAATAAATAGTTTTTGCGAAGTCCGCAACGTCGCGGGTATATATCCATTGATATTGTAAGTTTTTGCGACTTAATTCACAGAATCAGTATAGCAACGAATCGGGTGTCGCAAGACTTGCAACTCCAGCATATGCCAATTGGCCGTTCGGTTTGATGTGGTTTTGCTAGTTGCACACCACTGAAATTCAGAGACATGAAACGTCTTCTGGCCCTATCGATTCGTTAGCGAGATCCGAAAACTGGAGTGATCACAAAGATAACAATCCGCCAAGTAAAGAATATAGTAATTTCGCTGACGCTGACAATGGTTGCAGGACGGGCCGTCCAACTGCTAAGGACCGAGTGATTATCAGTGGAAGATGTTTAACCCCAAAGTGCACCACGTACAGCATCCAGCGTCCAGATCAGCCTTCGTAGACACCAGCGAAGATCAACACATTCATCTGTTCCGTAAAGCTACGCAATCCCCCATCCCCCTAACGTCATTACGGGAATATCAGCCGTCATCAGAATGAGGGTGGTTGTGCTCCCTGTGGTCCGGGAGGTAGAGAAAGATGTAGACGCCCAAGCAGGGCAAGAGGGTTGTATGATCGAACAGGACAATGACACTCTAGAGATGCTACTCGCCTCGAAAGCAGAATTACCTGTGTTCATCACCTTGTGAAGTAGGGACATCCAACTTGAAGCGCCTTTTGATGAAAGTAATAAGTGAGGACGGCGGCGTATAGGGTGCGTACTCCGAACTCTTCAGGAAGCGAAATGAATCAGTCGAAATAGCTGTCGGCGTCTACTGTCAAGCCGGCGGCGTCATCACGAGCCGCATATACCAAGTCAAATCAGAGTTCGACCGTGAGACGAGTAGCATTGATCATCAAGAGTATCGAATACGATTTGATTTGGATTGACATAGTCATCGTTGCCAGTTCCCGCAAGCCGATCACGCCGTTCGCACGTAGACACAGCAGTGTGATCCCTACTTTCGATCCATCCGATTTATTCGCTTGAAAGTCAGCAGATATTGTTGACGATTGAAGTATACTCGGATGCGAAATATGGGGCGAAGACCGGAGGTTTGATGCTTCGCGGGACAGCGTATGAGGGGATGTTCAATTACCAAGGTTTCTGGCAGCTATTGAGCGGGAGAATATTTGTATAAGGAATTCAGCGAGACGAGCCCTTTGACTTGACCAAGATGGCGGCGAATTCAACATGATGAATTCTATCGCAATCTGTCTGTCGGTCTCCTTCGGACCGTTAAGCGAGCCATTGAAATTGGTTGTCAGGAATGCATCTACACTGTATCTCGTGGATGTAGCAAAACGATGGCGTGCCCTACCCTACCAGTTACAATCACGATAACCTGTTGCGATCTCCTTCCTACACGTCACGTTGCATGTCGACCTTCGGATTAAAGGGTGGAAGTTGATGGAAACAGCCTTCCTACGGTGAGATTCGGGGGATGAATCACGGAATGAGTACGGTGTATCCAGTGGGCAAGTCAGTGTGGCAAGAAGGTAACTTCGAATGTGGGAAATGGTAAAAACCAAATTGGGAACAAGCAAAGGCAAAAAGCTTATGTAAGTAAATGATTCACGTGCAATCACGGACCTCGACGCCGTGCTCCCACTCTCATCTATTCAACTGCTAGATATGCCGCACAAGTACGCCTTATCGAAGGCTCCTTATGACTCTTTGGCCTGATAGAAGTCTCTCGAGGAGTAGATGCGATCATCTATGATGATGGTGATGGCTGCCAGAAGCACGCTTTGTATTCTATCTGGCTTCACAACGGCTACTGCGACGACGACTGGTTTGCGACACCTCACATCTATCTACATACAATGACTCGATATCATGCTTGAAGCGAGGTCTAAGCTCAGCTGAGCGATGTTACCTCTCTGCGGTGCGGGGCCACTCATCGGCTTGTCGCGGAGTGTGGTTGTGATCTGTGGCTGTCCTTACCGTCGGCATCTTTCCAATGGTTCTGATTCACTGTTGGCGGCAGGTCCACGCGTGCGAAAAAAGTACTGGAATTTCAAGTGACATTCCGATCTACGATTTAAACCAAACAAAATGAAGGAATTTTGCTTCCTGGCTATCGTACAAACACATTGCTAAGGATCCGGTGAGTGGTGATACAGATGTTATGTCAATAGATACAAGAACGAAATGGATAACTTATTATATTCCCTGAAGAGTAGGTCGTTCTCGAAAAAAAGAAGTGACACCAAAGGTAAGGTGAACGTGCGCGGGGTTACCGCGATGAACACAAAGAAAATCAGAGTAACGAAATTGGGAAAAGCCAAGGTTGAAACAAAAAATCGTGAAACAGAAAGAAAGTGAAGAAAATCAGGAAAATGCAACGCGAGGGCCAGACGCCCTTTCGGGGCGGAGCGGAGGGTAGTGAGTTGGATGCGCTATGAACGTGGGACCATCAGGAACAGCGTCAATTCACCTCGTCCGGAACAGGGACGCTCGGCAATGGTTTATCCGGTGTATTGGGTGTTAGAGTTAAAGGCTTTGGCGACAAGACAGTCATTCGCCTGGTCCGGCGTGACTTGCGCAGATCCTGTACGACCTTGAGACGCAGCGGTGTTCCCGGCCACTGATACGACCGCTCTTCTGAGCCAGAATCATCCGATTCAGTGTCACTTGACGAGCATTCGTAGATGGAATGGATGAAGAGGAACTCCCGTTCAAGGATATATGCGCCGTTTTTCCATCGTTCCGAAGGCTCGTGAGCGTGCACTATCTGGAAACCGACATATGCTTCGCAACCGAGACACTATACGATAAATGCGTTCGGGTTAGACTGATGACCATTCTAAACTTATGCAGGAAGGTTACCCACCTTTAGCTCTCGTACGGTGTGTGCTCCTGTGCGCATCAACCAGACTTGTCGAGGACCAAGAGAGACGTTGGAACTAAAAAAGAGCGAAACGAATTGGTCTGCAGGCTTCCCTAAAAACACCGAGGACGTTACTTACGCATCGTCAAAAAGTCCGGCCTTAGGGCTTTGGGCCCCGCAATACGACTGCGCGAAAAAGACTTGCATAAGCTGTTGCAACTCGCTAGCCAAATGGTTTACGTACTCGTGACAGAAGGTCATCCATGCATGCAATGTATTTGTGGCATTTCTTACATATCAATACCCGGGCAACGCTGAGCGGTCCCAAGGACGATGAATAATACGACGCGTATTTGGTCATCGAAATGTGTCGAAAAGAGATTCGCGAATGGAGTACCAGCAGAAAGAGAGACCAGACGGCGCGACAGACAGGTCTTGTGAGAACACCGGGCTATGAGGTCCTTCGTCCTGACCCGCGTCGTATATATACGCTTGGTTTGATAAGAAGCACCGCTGGGCGTTCTTAGAGGCTGAGTAGCTGATCCATTGTACTGGATCACCTATTGGCGGGAGGAGCCCAATTGGCGCATCTTTTCGAATTTCTTCAGTGGTCCTTTCGCCTCAATTTACCGCTGTTGCCAACGGAAGAGATCTTCTGATCCCGCTGTTCCATTCATTTTGCGACCTTCCTCTTATGCCGAAAAGGGAAGCCGCCACGCAAACTGATACATCCGGCACTACATAATGAAATCAACTGGTGCACAAGACTTGTAGAACGGGATTTATGGGCGATGCGGAGGATGCCAAAAATTTTAGAACCAATTGCAGTTCGCGAATGAAGAACAGAGCATACAAGTATAGAGCCCGATTCGGGTGCTGCCTAGTAGCGCGATGCCGTCATTTGGGTGTGAGGCAATTCCAAGTTAGGCGCCCGTTGCTAAGGTAGGGAAACAGAAGGTGACTGTAAGCCGGAGGAAGAAGACGTTCAAACCGAAAAGTCTGAACGTAGAAGCCAATCCGTGTGAATCTAGATAGAGCGCTACGGACCGCGGACGCATCTCGTTTCTAGGCGTATCCGGATAGTGTCTAGATGATCATGGTTAGGAAGCGTACGACACACTTCTTGAATCATGCATTCATACGTTGCACTCATGGGATCTGGGATTGGGCGTTCGATGTCAGACATTCCTCGCTCCAAAATGAGATGATCAAAAGGTGTGGAAAAACAGATATCGGTCCCACATGGCAAGGAAATCGAAAAGGAAAATGTGCATTACATCAGACTCCGTTTGCTTGCATCATTATCTCGGGTGAGCCCTGTAGAACAGTCTCAGACGCCAACGAATACTAATGAAAGTTTACGCCACAAATGAAGGCTAGTGCTAAAAATTTGCACTCAGACATTCAAATTCTATGATTTCATAGATATGGGCGTCTGTGATATCAAATGGCGACAAACATCAAGCTGCCGTCTGGTTTCTCGGCGACGCGTGGCGAATTGCAATCCGACATCCAGCGACTTTGGCACCAGTGATACTCTTTGACTGATGAAGCCTCCGTGATCTATTCTTACGTCGCATCAACCTCCCATGATCATAGTTCCTGTGGCACCGTTCTAAATTGGATGATCGAGTTCCTCTGCGGGACGACTCCGCCACGGGACGAAATGCGGCTGTGTGCGCAGTCCAAGAACACCACTACCTAGATTTGGGTATACCGTTAGATGAAGGTTGCTTGCGATGCTTAACCGCGGGAATATGATAGTATGGCCTGGTCTCCGCTATGATAGGGACCTTTGAAGTCAATACTCGGAATCCTTGCTTTGTGCTGGGTCACAGGTGAGGAGCCATTCTATTCGCTCTGTACAGCGCCACGAATTTAGGGTCACGTCGAGCTAGGAAGGTATGGATATATGGGTATCTCTACGAAAATACCTGATTGATGTGACGACGTTCGCAGTAAGGAGTTGGGCACGTTAGCAAACAGAGGAAGAGATGTTCGTTAGTTTATTAAAAGTTCTAGGTGGTATCTCTCACTACTCTCACTATGTTTCTTTGTTAATTAACGGAAGCAGGTTCATCGTTCTTCCCCGTTCCTATATCCGTGGTTTCCACGGTGAGCCAGGAACATCTCCATATCTTGATTGTAGACGAGCTTCTTTGTCGGCGTTGTCTTCCGCACTGTTATCATCCAGAGCACTTAGGCTAGCAACAAATGTAGGCTAAAAATGTCAGCCTTGCATCGAAGGATACTATAAACATGACTTACCACCAACATATTTGACCAATGGATTACATGGACCAGAACTCTGAATTGATGTTCATCACTGTAGACAAAACGAAATTTTTTTCGTGAGGTCCGTTTCTCGTAGAGCGCTTAGCCTCGGCCTAGCCCAAATCTGTCATTGCGTCTTTTCTGTGACGTTCTTGGTTTGACTTAATCTTGAATGCAAAGGACTTCTCCAGGAGACTAAAGATTCGGAGTTTGTGAGAGCTTCCAAATCAGAGTCATTAACTCTGCGAGTCTCGTCCTTGCTTCAATTGAGGCCAGTAGAGGAGTTATCCGCACGCCCAAAATTTTCACAGGACACATATCATTGAATGGAACTGCAATATACTGGGCATCCCAGCGTTCCAGGACCCAATCCTCATTCAGTCGAAATTTGCTATTTTCGTCTTGTCGTAGAGCATCGGTGATATCGCCGAATGTGAGAGTTCTTTCAGGGGGCCATTTAAATTAGAAATTTATCTCCGTGCCTTCTTCAATGGAGACTCGCGACAAAGCGAGCTGTAAGGAAATATATATTTGCATCCCGGATCCGAGACTCTTACAGCCTGCAATTGCATCCGCCGACATAGTATCGCAGTTCCTAAGAATCCCAGTGCCCAAAGCAGTAAAAAGTGACTTGGGATAATCAAATTAGCATACTTCGAGGCCACTCACTATCGAGGTTGACTAGCACTGCCATGATAAACGGCGACGACACCTCGCCAGCACACATTATACGGCGAGGACAAACGCAGAAGTTGCCTTAGAAAGCCTCCTCAAGAAGCATCCCTCCCGCCGAAGGCTACACAAGTTATTTTAGCATACCAAAGCTGATATATGAGCAGCTTTCTTACACAGGAAGTCTTGTTAAGGGTTATGTAGAGGAAGAAGGGACGAACTCGACATCATCGTTGTGGCAGTTGAAGAGCAGTGTCGCACAGCCGGGTGGACAAGTGGACTGCAATAGAAACACAAAGAAAAGGATTATTAGCCTAATCGTGTCATTACAACACCTCCTTCTCCAGTATAGTTGACTTAACCTAGAGGACGGAGACGAGGAAGCGAGTGCGACAGTGTGACTTCTAATTCGCGCTGCAAAGCGGTGCGAAAACCTAGCAGTCACGTGTACTGGTAGAATTGTTCCAATCCAAGCAAGAATGACTGCTCCAGAGGCGAGCAACAAGCATTTCGACTTCTCAAGGCCATGATATTATAGTGAAACTTTGACCCTAGTTCAACTTTTCGTTTATCTGAAGCGTGGGCGCACTCAACGTCGTCTGTCACTCTCAAGTTTTCCTAAAAGCACACAGAGCATAGTTGGGGGCAAGACCAGAACAAGTGACTAAAACGGAATTTCTCATGGTGAGGCCGTCTTCCAGGTAAGGCAAGACAGTAAAAGCCTGTCTGTACAGCTCTTGAAATGCACGTTTTTCTACCTTTGCCGGGCAGCCAAAGATGTGTACGTCAGGGTGGGAGACGTCACTGGAGATGTATTGCACTCCCAGAGGTGATTGCTTGTAATGGTTCTTCATAGTTTATACAAAGTAGTGCACGGATGCACGACAAGGAAAAGCAGGTTAAATGAAGGGGAGCACCAGTTGGCAGCATCTTGTTTATTTAACCATGCCTCTCTCTTGCCGCTGTGCAAAACCAAGAAAGTTGTCTTGTCTATATAGTAAATGCCAGTCGAAGTCATGATTGAACGAACCTGTATACTCAGTATACCATTATTAACTATCTGGTATGGTACTCCAAGGTGCCGAGCTTGACAACGAGCTTGAAAATATAAAGCACCTTATACCTGTTCGCCTTGCACAATAGAAAGCGGCGTCCGTCCAGCCTAGTTGCCTCGGGTCTGCATAGAATGCCCCTGGTGAGGTCAATGCATTTGAACCCGTCTGGAATCCGTATTTCCCTTCCCGCTATATCGGAGAAGGTGAGATACGCGAGTGATTGTTGCTCTTGGATAACTTTAATAATGTCTGAAGGATAGGACAAGACGGTTGCGGGACATGACAATGACAAATGCAGTGGTGTTGCTGTGAAGACAATAGTTGAACAGGTGCAATAAATTCGATACATGTGTTGAAATGGCTATCTAGTACAATGTTTAAGATGATGGTTAGTGCAAAGGACAACACTGGTGACTCCGGCCTGAATGATGAGCAAGGCCGAATGACTTGTGTCTGAGTCTCTCGGAATTAGACTTCAGCGCGTGACAGTGTGAGAAACTATTCCTAAAAGTCACGTGCAGTCGCAGCATTGTTGGATTTTTGTCGGTCCGAGACCAATACCATACCATACCACAATAATCCCTGGACCAAGGCAAGTATCAGCCCATTTGCAACTTCTCGCGGCTATGATGTTCTAGTAAAAGGTTTGACTCTAGCTCGTCTCTCGTCTGTCTGGATCACGGGCGCCCTCAACATCGTCTGTCACTCTCAGTGTTTCCTAGAGGTAAACGGAGCACGGCGTAAGGCCAGACGGAAAATGACCAGGACTTAATCTCTTATGGCTGGCCTGTCTTCAAGCTTAAGGGCAGGGCAGTAAAGGCTTGTCCCCACATTACTGGCTAGGCATGCCGTACTTCGTCGAAGGTTAGCATGTCATAACGGCTGGACGACAAGCCAAACTTCGGTGGAAGAGTATTGCTCCGCCTGAGGTGGTCGCTTGTAGTGGTTCTTTATAATTGTCGAGAAAAGGAGGATTGCGCAATCATAAGCACATTCACTAGAGTACAATGTGTTTGTGCGTGGTGTTGTGCACACAAAGGGAGTGCACGGATTCATGACAGACAGAACGAGCTTGGGAAAGGAGAACACGAGTTGACCAGCATCGATGTTGGCCTGAGCCATTTATTTCAAATTTCTTTTTCAATTAGGCACTTTGAAGTGATGACTGACATTATTTTTGTAGGAAGCATAGCTAGCAAATTGCATTGCTCTGCAATTGGAGTATGATCGTATCACGAGAACGATCAGCTCAGCGATACCGTGAGTGTTAGCTCGGAAGGATGCTTTCTCCTGTACTATTATTGCTGCGGATCGGTCTAGAATCTATACATTTAGTTGCCGAGTCCATCCCTGTTTCAGATGATGCTACTACGCCGACCAACACCAGGCTCGCGGGGACCACTGATAATGGAACGTGTCTACCATTACTGATTGCCTCTGTAATGATGTGCGATGTAGCAACGTAGATTCAAGTACACTGAAACTCGACACGTTGCCTCTAACGACTGCCAGAGGTCCGAAAAAGCCCACTGGCGTCCGCTTCTTGGCATTGAAGTAACTGCGACTTATATGTTTTGACGAGTACCATGTATACTTTCGAAATATTATTATTTTACAGGGTGAATAAATAAATATTTATGCGAATTCATCCCTTCATACGTTAATGGTATGCAGCTACTCGATTATTGTTCTATCGATTTCTGTATAAACAAGATTGTTGATTACATGTTACTGTCACAATGAATCTAACCAAGCAGCCCTGCAACGTGCCCACCATGATTATGATCAGGTCAGTATTGGTATCCAATGGATTTATTCAATTTGCATCTGAACGGTCCGCTCTTAATGCGATATTTGAGTCCATGCAATAATTAATACTTTATGTCCTGGCGCAATTATAAACTAAATATACAGATAAAATTATAACATGTAAATAACTGATTTCCTATACTTCCTGAATACCTTAAAAAATGGATTAGCACAATAACGCGCGTTTATTTCATAGTAAAATTGAGACAATAAATAGTATAGCACAGATCTATGAGAGTGAGAGATGGAAGTCAATAGTCTCCATGGTACGTTGTGGAGGGATGATTCGAATTATCCTAATGCCGTACAGAGATTGTCCGAATTTCTCGAAATTGCATATAAAACCTTCGGGCCGACCTACCTGTGCAATTTTGTATCCGAATTAATCAGGCTATTCTCTGGACTACTTTCGCGCAAGATTGCCTTGGTGGACTGTCAATAACTACTCTTCTAACTGCAAACTCACAAATTGGAGACTTCATTGAACGCCTGCTGCATTCAATATTCGGTCTTCAACTGCTACTTCTGGCAAACTTATATCCAACGTTATACATTCACGAGCTGTTAGCATTAGCACAAACGTTGTCGTATTGGACATAGCTTATCCGCCTCTGTCGGAGCTGAAATGCCTTCCCGAATACTATGGAAAAGTGGATCCCTAGTAAACTGACACGTCAATTCATGTAGCATTTAAATACAAGCACTTTAATAGACCAGTAGGTGCAAAAAATGCGTCTCTTAAAGCTTGTCCCTTTTGTAACTCTGCTCATCACGGCTGGTGTTGCGTTGGCTGCAAATGTTATAACACTTACAGCCTCAGACTTTAACTCTATTGTCAACAAAGAAGCCCTGATTATGGTTAACTTTTTTACACCATGGTTCGTACTTTAGGATTAATTGATCTAATGATTATTTACTAATATTATACCTTCCTTTTCTGATGATATTGTGTAGGTGTAGTCATTGCAAGGCTCTTGCACCAAAATATGAGGAGGCTGCAACAACCCTCAAGGCAGTAGGGATCAAACTCGGTGAGGTAGACTGTACTAGTCAGTAGGGATCCGAATCGTACCGTACAGTACGGTTACGACCCGTTTCGGTCACGGTACGATCTGTACTCGTACCGGACTTTGAGACACCAAATACGGCTCGTATAAAACGGGCCGTTTCCCGTATCCTATTAGGCCAAATACGGCCAAATACGGCCGTATACAGAGTACGGACATCCAAAGAAGATTTTCAGTATTAATAACATAACATGTGTAGCACAATTTATAACTATTTCTTCTCTTTGTATACCTTATAATATACCTTTTATACATAAAAACACCAAATTTAGCTAATCTTGGGGTCAATGTATTAATATTATATTATTTATCTTCTCAAAATAGTTAGTCATGTGACTATCTTTTATTACTTCATACAAATTATATTTCAGATTTACTGAATATATTGATGAAAATGGGCATAACAAGTGCTAATTTGATAGGGACATACATATAAAGTAATAATAGGCCTTTTTAACGATTTTAAAGTATATTAATTATTTCTTTCTATTAATATAATATTAAATTTGTATTTACAAGTGTATTACCATATACAACTGTATACAGTACACACTGTAGCTGTACTTGTGTCCTAGAACTCAAAAAACAGTTGTATTTTTACAACTGTACCCTGTACAGACCTGTACAGAGTATGGTTGTACCTGTATACAGTACACTCAGATCCCTACTAGTCAGGTAAACCTCTGTACACAACATAGGATCACATCATATTTGTGAGTTATTTGTAATGTGTACAGAGATTGAAGAATTATCTAAGTCCTGGTATTATAGTACTCTAATTGTTTACAAGCATAGCAAACCAGTAACCTATACTGGAGCACTTACAGCAGATGCTATTGTCAAGTTTTTGAAAGGGTATGCTCTCTCATTTACTACTAGTTTTGAACCTAGTCTTCCTAACTTCTACTTATTTTTCTGTCAATTAAGTTTGTTGAGTGAATGATTGAAGGGGGAATACAGGAGTATAGTGTCTAGAACTGTGCAGGAGACCCTCTTGATGTATTGAAATACATGATGCACCTTGACATGTTTCTTGTTTGTTCTATTAACTCCTTCATGTAGACATATGTGTGTTGTAAACACGTGAAGTATCAACTCCTAAAACATTGCAGGTATACAACACCAGGTCTTACTGTAAAGCATATTTACAGAATACCATGACAGGTATCTCAGTATCTGATACTTTCAGTACTCCTTACAAAAACGTTCTTCAAATTCTTGAAGGTAAAGTGTTTGTGCTACTTGCCTTGAAGTAATCATTTTGAACATTTACACACTGTCCCAGCATATTTAGATGAAGTAAGCAAGGATAGACGTGTCTCCTTGCAATACAACTGTGCAAGGCTCAATATAACACAGTAAAATGAATCTCTACAAATGATAAGGCCAGCATTAGCAACTCATTGCATTAATGGCTCTATATGCATCTCAGTTTGCATTATATACTGTATGTACATTAGCACTTAATAGTACTGATTCCACATTGTTGTGTCATAGTATACTCATTATGTGTGAATCAAGTATCTGAGTTCTTTCTCTTTGTCCGTCCACTATAATAATTCACAAATGCTTATGTAGTGAATGCATTTGTTAGAATGATTTCAGATAGATTGTAATTTATGAAGTACACTTTGGGGGAAGCAACGGCTTAGTATTGGGTTGGCATTCTGAAACTAAATTTAATGAATCCGGTTTATATTGACTCCCAATATTTCACTGCTTCTGCAAGATTTAGTGCAGAATGCAGATCTCAGAGTTAAAATGACAATGCAACTTATGATTGTAACCAGGGAGTCTAAGAATAACAAAAGGGAAAAGTCCAAGAATGTACAGCTATATAGCGCGGGTACTTACTCCCTATTTAGCCAGCTTCGTTGCAGTCCCTTTGAATCGGTGCAATTAAGTACAAGGATTTACAACGAGGCAAGCGCAGGAAGCCGCGATCTCTTCCGCTTTGGCTATCTGATGGATAACATCAATATTTGGACTGCGGAAAGCATCGTCAGTCATCGCATCAATACATAAAGGTGATTCGGCGGTCAATTGGACCGGTGTCCCCAATGAATGATCCTGCGTGTGCTTACTGTGTGGACACTTCAACATGTGTACAGGGCACACAGCATGAATCAATACAGAAGACAGTTCGTCATTCGATACGATACGTCCAGCACATTCTCTCTGCGAGATCCGATTCAGATTCAAGATTAGGATCTTACACAACAAAATGAGTCCGAGGGGATCGTGTTCGGGCGCCTTTGTTCCCCGAACAAGGTTCTCCTACCTACTACAACTGCGCATGCCAAGGAGGAAGATCGAAGTCTTCCCGAAGTTTACAGCCTCAAAGTCTCTTACGAGGCTGTGGATCAATCGCACTGCATTCTCCGTTAAAGCGGGAAAAGTTTCAAATTTACATCCTCAGACTCGAATGAAGATACTTGGGTGGGGAAGATCCACTTCCGGCAAGCTGGTTCAAACCGGCAGGCCTAGGGCGATGATTCTCGGCTATATGCGGGTATTAATGAGCTTAGTTATTTTTTCATATGGCCATCGAGCTTCCAGTAGCTTCATATCGCTGGTCTGAGTGTCCCCGTGCCGTGAGTTAAGCGCGTGTTGATGGCACCTGAGAGGAGTAGTAGAAAGTGAACAACTACGCAATCGACTGACTGACAATGACATGACGTTCGTCTATGACGAGGGCCGGAAAGACAATCCTCGTTACGAGCCAGGGAGGTGAATAGGAACATCGGCAGAATCAACCCTTTTCTTCTTCTGGGCGCATCGAAGGAGAGAAGAAGAGAAATATGTGTCTGAGCGAAGGACAATAGAGTCCTCCAATAGTGCATTTGTACAACGCGTCGCGACGAAATATTCAATTTACTTGACTAAAGCTCCACGGACGAGAAAGGAAGGAGATTCTCGCGGGAGTGGCCATGCCAGGCGAGCTCGTAAACAACCTCGATCACACTCACTTCCTCAACCACCGTCCGTGCCAGCTTGTCCCCTCATCGCGCCCGCACATCTCCAGCAGTCACCTCCAAAGTCGCGTTTCTCGCGCCCCCGCGTCTGGTGATCATTTCTCCTTTACAATGACGACGACTTGGGCCCCCCAGCAGGCCGGTCTGCAGGAAATTTTGCAGACCATCCACGAATCGACGGACACGAACAACACTGAGGTGCAGAAGAATATCACACTCGTGAGCCATCCTTTTACTGTGCAATGTGGACGTTTCATTTGACTGCGCGTCTAGAAACTGAACAACTTCACGAGAGTACCAGACTACATTGCGTACCTCTCGTATATACTCGCGTACATGCCGCAGGAAGAGGACAGGATCCGAACGATCGCCGGTTACCTTCTTAAGAACAATGCACGACTCATTCTTCGAAGTGCGCCAGAGGTGGCGACGTTTGTCAAGGCGGCCATTCTTCAGTCCTTCAACGAGTCATCAGTGATGATCCGTAACACGGCCGGGCAAGATGTTGTCGCGTTCCTCGGCATTCTCGAACCACGTAATTGGCCAGAATGCCTTCAACTTCTTTTTGAGACCTTGGACTCGACCAACGAAGATCAGCAGGAGGTAAGTTTCTTTACAAATGGAGCGTTGTACGTGCCACCATACTGATCGCGATGTAGGCCGCATTTAACGTGTTGGAGAAAGCATGCGAAGACTATCCGCGGAAGATGGACGTGGAGATCAACGGAACGCGTCCTCTAGATTTCATGGTACCCAAATTCCTAACGCTTACCGAGCATCATAGCGCGAAGATGCGAGCACATGCGATTGCGTGTCTCTCATACTTCGTGCCGATAAGCAGCCAATCTCTTTTCGCTCACATCGATAACTTCATCGCTGCTTTGTTCAAGCGTGCTTCCGATGAAGACCCATCTGTTCGTCGACACGTCTGCCAATCGCTTGTCCTCCTGCTTGCGTCGCGTCCGGAAAAGCTCATGCCAGAGATGAGCAACGTTGCAGAGTATATGCTTTATTCAACTCGCGACAAAAACGAAATTGTTGCGCTCGAGGCTTGCGAGTTCTGGCTTACGTTCGCAGAAGACCCCGAGCTAGTAGCTCAATTACAGCCGCTGCTCGGAAAGGTTGCTCCAGTTCTGCTTGAATGTATGGTTTATGGCGAAGACGACCTCCTATGGTTGGATGGTGACGCAGAAGATGCGAACGTTCCTGATAAAGAAAGCGATATCAAACCTAGGCATTATGGTCAAAAATCCCATGGATATGCACACGAGGGTGGTCCAGAGGAGGACAGACGTGTTGGTGCATACGGCGATGAATTGGTCGATGACGACGATGACGACGACGACGAATACGATGCGGATGATTTTGACGATGAAATGTCCACGGAGTGGAATCTTCGAAAATGTGCAGCAGCCGCTCTTGATGTGCTGGCTGTTCGATTTGGCGCGGATCTTCTCAATGTTTTGCTTGCACCGCTCAAAGATAAACTATGGAGTCAAGACTGGTTGCAACGAGAAAGTGGTATTCTCGCCCTGGGTGCTATGGCAGAAGGTAAGATCGCCCTGATATATTAATTACTGTTCTGAATTTGCTCATGATTGGCATCAGGTTGCATAGACGCTATTGAACCGCATCTACCAACATTAATTCCGTACCTAATTAATATGCTGAACGATCCAAAGGTGAGCCCTTCCCGCGTAGCTCGAGATAGCCTTGTATTAAATCTTTGGCTCAGCCCCTGGTTCGATCAATAACGTGCTGGACACTCGGGAGATACGCGAGCTGGTGTACACAACCAATATCTCCTGAACACAAAATGCAATTCTTCGTTCCCACATTGGAAGGTGTAAGTACTCGGATACTTAACAAAGGCATTTATATTCAAATCTTCCTTTAGTTGCTTCGGATGGTACTGGATAATAATAAGCGTGTACAAGAAGCGGGTTGTAGTGCGTTCGCGACGTTGGAGGAGGATGCAGGCCCTGAGCTTATCCCTTATTTGGAACCCGTTCTGAGGAATCTTGTTTTCGCTTTCGACAAGTATCAGCACAAGAACATGTTGATCCTTTATGATGCTGTCGGGACCTTAGCTGATGCTGTTGGTTCTGCGTTGCAAACACCGACTTACGTAGATATCTTGATGCCTCCACTGTTGAAACGGTGGGAGAAACTCAAGAACTCTGACGAGGATCTCGTTCCTTTACTGGAGGTAAGCAAACAGAATTCTGGTGGAGATTTGTATCCTGATTTTCTATGCGTAGTGCCTATCGTCAGTAACAATCGCCATCGGACCCGCCTTCCTACCCTACGTCACGCCTATATTTGAACGATGCATGTCTCTCGTACATTCATCACTGTTGAACTACCAGGCATACCAACAAAATCCCGATCTTGATGAACCAGACAGATCTTTCCTTGTAGTTGCTTTGGATCTACTCTCAGGTCTCACTCAAGGTTTGGGCATGGCTCTTGAGCCGTACATAGGCGCATCGAACCCCAATTTACTCGATCTCCTAACCGTATGTCTCAAGCACCCTCAAGCACCAGTACGACAGTCAGCATATGCGCTTGTTGGCGATCTCGCGATGCATTGCTTCCCGTTACTAAGACCAAAGATGCCGCAGATCATGCAAGAACTCATCATCCAACTCGACCCGGAGCCAAAAGTCGAATTTGTCAGCGCGTGTAATAATGCCGCATGGAGCGTTGGCGAGGTCGCTCTACGATACGGTACAGGTATGTGCTTAATAACGTTCTTCTTTCAAAGGAGTCGATCCTCATAGAACTTCTTTTACCTCACTTGGAATCTAGATGATCCCGAATTCGCGCAATGGGTTCAACCGCTTATTACCCGACTGGTTCCCATCTTACTGCATCCTAAGGCACCTCGTAGCTTACACGAAAATGCTGCGGTGTCTATTGGCAGGATTGGACTTATGCACCCATCGATTGTCGCACCGCATTTGAACGAATTTGCGCAAGCCTGGTGCCAGGCGCTACATGACATTCGCGATAACGAGGAGAAAGACTCAGCATTCCGCGGGTTATGTCAACTCGTACAAGTAAATCCCGGTGGCATTTGGAAGGTAAGCCGCTTGTCGATTCGAGTATCGTCTCGGCGTGACATAATCTCATACTTTTTGGTTCTTCAGAGCTTATTGTGGTTCTGCAACGCAATCGTGCGATGGCAAACTCCATCGCAAGGACTAAATCATGCGTTCTCGGAGATCTTGCGGGGGTTAAAAGAATGGGACCCAGTAGCGTGGAATAGTCAAGTTCCAACGTTCCCTCAGGGTATCCAGGCTCGATTGCACGAACGTTACGGAGTTTAATTCAAGTTCCCAACTTTTTCTTTTACCATCTGCCAATATCTGTCCATAGCTAGATTCAAACCATGTCGCTTTATGAGGGTATTTTTCTACCCCCAACAACACTGTTTTGAGTCATGGTGTTCTTTCTCGATTTTGTCATTAGTTACTGCAACGGTTTGTAGCATTTCTTTTATCGTTTTTCTTTTTTGATATTTGTTGTCTTTGTCTCTTTGTCTCTCGTCCTTTCCTGTGTCGCTCCTTGCACGCGTCATTTGCTTGATTGCTTGCTTGCATTATCAGTTCAGTTCAGTTTGTCAGGTCTTTTCCTGCCTGCTTTTACCCTCTTTTATTTTTTTCGTATATCTGTTACCCTACTGACCCTACGAACCAATCAATCGACTGACTAGTCAAGTCTGCCTGTAACCCTCCTGGAAAGTGGCATTTCTGAATCTACCTATTGCAATTATATATATATCAAGATGGTATGTTCAACTACTGTTATTTCTTCTGTTTGTTTGCATATCAGTCTAGGGTGTGGTCCATATTCAAGGAACAATCCTGCATAAACAATGACAAGCTTTACACTATTGAATTATGTAAGTTGCAGTCAACCAAGTTGAAAAACCAACAATTCCTTTCAGTCTTCCCTATCATCCTATGTATGTCACATTTAGTTTATGGCCATGATAGTCTATTACTTCTCAGAACATTTTTTTAATTACAGACTGGCAGCTGAGGCTTTCTAAATGGAGAGTAACAAATGGTGAGACAGACAACAATATAGTTACTGTAGCTAAACCAGACTAATATAGTTGTATTAAGGTAAAAGCAGAGGCTTCTATCTAACTTTCTCAGTTCCAAACCACTTTTTGTATGACTGTAATTGTTATTGAACCTTAAACACAGTAAAGATGTAGTATATTCTAGTTAAGATTGGCCAATAATATTAAAGTATGTATTTTCCCAGTTATTCAAGTTGTCATTTAGTGAGTCCTAGTGAAAATGACTAGGACTAGTCAATATTGGCTGAAAATATTCTTATACTTAAGGTACAATACTAGCCTTACCTTACCTCTTTCCTTATAACTTGAGACTAACCAACTTACTATTGTGTTACTACTAGCTAAAGTTGTCTAGCACATTACATACTTTCCCTACTACTCCTTACCTACCCTAAAACACAGACTCTTTGATACAACTAGTTTGTCTCCCTGGTTCTTTTTGTTGTGTTGTTTAGGAAGACTGTTAAATACTTTATATATGTTTTTTATAAGTTTTATCTGTAACTTGACATTCTAAAACTTGTCTCTTTTACTGATTTTAGTCTTAAATACTCTAGTTTGCCTTATACATACTTTTCTCAAGTAGCTCTATAGTGTTGATCTCAAGTACCAGTTGAGGTAGAAGAGGTCAGTTGAGTCTGTAAGGTACAGACACTGAGAGGGGTCAAGAGTGAGAAGGAGTAGGTAGATCTGAGCAGAATGTACAAGTTCTGAAAGTGACAATTAACAAGACAAGAGTAGTGTGGAACAACAAAGCCACACTTCAGAACAAGGTAATACAAGACAAGACAAGGCAAGATGGAACATTTACTGAGGAGACTGTCAAACTACACACTAAGAGTCACAGTAGAGAGTAACTTGATTGCTAGAAAGTATGAATTACATGAGGGTATTTATAGAAATTAGGAGTCCTTTGTAACTACTAGTCCTTTGTAAACAAATCCACCACTGTCTCCTTTGTATCAACCCATCTGGGACTCTGGATCCAAGTCCCCTTTGTATTGATCAACCAGCTGTCTGAAGGCTCAGAGTCTTGCCTTTGTGAATCAGAACTGGAGTCCAGAACCCAACTAGTCTGAGTTGAGCAACCAAGACTATTGTGTAGACAATGATGATGTAATTGAAGGATTGCTGATGTGAGGATGATACAACTTTGATACAACTGAGCCCTTCCAATCAGAACATATTAGAATATATGTGTTGTATAAGTATAACATCTCTCAGGTGTTTTAGAATGTGACTGTCCCTAGTCACACCTGAGGGTGTAAATTTGCAAACTGGCACACTTTATGTTTCAATCTTCTGCTTCTTTTTGAGTTTGTCCTTCTTCTTCAACCATGTTATTGTTACAAGAAGTGAATCAGGTCTACAACTAAGTGTAGGCTCTTATACAAAGGATGTAGGAGTTGCTACAGTGTGTAAGGACAGTGGATCAGCTATCAGTAGTAACAGAGTAGAGGGCAGAACTGGTGTGGTTGTAGGTAAGTACTTGAATGTCACATTGTCTCTGGGTCTTCTGACAAGACACTGTAGGCTGATTAGGATGTACTTACTGTATCAAGTGTACAGGCCAGCTTTGTGCTTACTATACTGTAGTAGCTCATACTTCAACTCAAAACATAGGTGTTGTAAATTGATACAGAGTATAGTAGCTGTAAGGATGCTCTGATTGGCAAACTACTTCAAGGGTATGAAGATACTATAACTGTTGACAAACCAAGTGTTGCTCCTCTAACAAAGTAGGTAGTAAAGGTTGTAGTTCTGAGACTGTCTGATGTGGTTAGGCATACTGTCTAGGATGCTGAGACAGGTACTCCTATAGGTGAACTAGACATTCTGCCAGGTTCTGAGCTAGAGTATGAGTTGTCTGTATACTAAGTACACAAGTAGGATCAAATGCTAAATAATGAGAGGTTGGACACACTCCTTTGTAAGTAGTAAGGAGTGCTACCAGACTGTCAGAATAATGAGGAGGACAACTCAAGCAGTACATAGTCCCTTCTTTACTTATTAATGATTTGACTAACTACTACTAGTCACTTGATCTAGATGCAGATTACATATATTTGGGTAGGAGGCATTCTGTGTTGTACAAATCAGACTTCCACAAGACAGACTGGGTAGTAGAGGAGGTTGAAAACAGGCAGGTCAAGTTACAGTTCTAGAACAGTTCTCTAGTGCCAGAGTCAGTGCTAGACAGTAGCCTGACACCTTTAATGAGTCAGAGGTGTAGCAACTGTGTCTGTTAGTATATAGTGTACATTTAAGAGTATGGTGAGACAATTGTATACTTAGTATACAAGAAGAGCAAGATCTATTACTCTCTTACAAAGACTGGTAAGGTGGTAAGGGATGTAAGGTTGAGGCAGGGGAGGACAATAGTGACAAACCTGTACCCTATAACTGGACTGTTAAGAGTGTGTCTGGAGGATCTGGGTAAGTTGTTCTGAGATTAATACTAATAGCTTTTAAAGACAACATTCTTCTAGGTGAACTCTTGGAACACTTGTCAGACAACAGTGAGTTCTGAGAGGATCTAGAGCTCAAACACAAGCTTTGTGTCCTTAGAAGATAGGTAGCTACCTATTGTACAATGTTAGATACAACAATACAGGATGTAGAGCAGCTACAAGCTAGGATGGGTGTAAAGGCAAGGTGTCAGAAGGATAGACAGAAGGATGGACAGAATTAGACATTCTATTCAGAACAATTGAACTAGTGTAGGTGAGACAGTCAACATAAAAGCTGTCTGTAGAAGTGGCCAAATATAATCCCCCCTTTATAGTTTTGAATAGTATTTTTCATATGTTCATAGTAATGTATAATGTTACCAAAGTATGAGTGTAATAATTGTAAGGTAATAAGAGTGACTCAGCATTGATAGGTAAACAACAGAGGCAAGGCTATATGCATACTGAAAGTAAGGCAAACTAACAGAATAAGAACAGAACAAGAATAGAACAAGAACAGAACAAGAATGGAACAAAACTGAAAAAGAAACAGAACAAAAACAGAACCAAAATAGAACAAGAACAGTGCAAGAACAGAACAAGAACAGAACAGAAAGGAACAGAACAGAACAAAGCTCTTAATACATAACTTTGAGACTGTTATGACTAAAGAAATGCAAAAGTGGTCTAAGGGCTGCTGGACAAAAACCTGTGTACAAAAAACCTAGTAGAAAAAAACATACTACAGGGAAAACCATGTAGGTTTGAAGTGTAAGTCTAACTATAATCTACAATTAGTTAAAAGCAAAATTAAGGAAAAACAGAAGATAGAGTAGAACAGGATCAGAACATTGTCTAGAATATTATAAAGGGTTACTAGAAAAAGGTGAATTCAAGAAAGTAAGGAACACATAGGTCTATAGTGGTTGGCCACAATTAGCCTTTAGTTAGAGCTAGAGTCCTTAGAAGGCTTGTCTGACAGTAGTGAGTTGTTAGTATTGTCAATTTCATCAGCTGGACCAAAGTTTTCAACAAGATATGTAACCAGAATCAAGAGTATAGTACAGACAAAGTATGGAACCAAGCAGAACACTGTGATACAAAGACAGGAGACTGATCCATTAAGTTCAGCTACAATATAGGATCCTCCTTGTGTACAATAGACTACTATGTACAGTCCAAGATAGTGTGGCTTGGTTTTTTGTCCAAGATCCATTCATGATTTGGAGTTGTGTATGAGGACAAGTTGACTAGGTTCAAAGTTAAAATCTTTGATTGAGTGTTTGTGTGTTTCTTCAAATTGTTAGAGTGAAGCAATCTGGTCTGTATGAACACATTCCACAATAGCTTGAAGGTCAGCTAGATGTTTCTGTAGTTAATGTGCTTGAGTTACAATGAGTTCTATTGTCATTATAAGTTTGTCTAGTACTGGGGCAAGATACATTACTTCTGTAATATTGAATGGGAGAAGTGGTTTAACACTATGGACAATAAAATAAGGGGACATACTAGTTGTGTAACAGATTGTGATCCAATCCAACCAAAAGACAGAATGTGTGTGTTCATGCCATTATAGTTCATTCCCTTCAGCAGCCTTCATAAGGGCTTCCTGTATGTTAAAGTGGCAGCATTCAATAATACTATTAGCTTAAGAGTTGTATACACTAATACAGATGTGATTAATGTGGTATCAGTTGTGAAGCCAATCTAGTGTAGTGACAAACAGGGTTCTGTTGTCAGTAACAAGTTCTGGGCACACACCAAATTGACAGAGAATATCTTCAAAAATGAATCATCCAATACTTTGTCTGGTTTCAGAACAGAGTAAGTAGAACTCAGGGTAGCCAGAGAGTGTGCATCAAGTGTGAACAATGTATCAGAACCCTCCTACTTTCAGCATGAACTTAGTGTCAATGTGTACCTTGGCAAATAATGGGGCAATCTTTGAAACACTGAGAGGGATCAGGATTTGAGTTGTCTGACAGAGTTAGCATTTGTGACAGGTACAGATGTAGTACTTGACATCAGGTCTAAGGCTAGGCCACCAGAAGCAGTTGAGAAGTCTAGCCTGGACAGAGTAGACTCCTTTATGTCTGAGATTGTCATACACAGTCTTGACAAGATTCTATTGTCAGTTAGGTTCTATTACAAGTTAGTGGTTGCTGTTCTGGGTTTTCCACCACAGTTGGCCA